CCAGTCCCTGTCCTGCCCGCGCCCCCTCCCAGGTCGTCCTGCCTCCTTCGAGCCCCACGTCCCATAGCCCCTATCGCTGCTGCGCGCCGAGTGCCCCTAAGGACCGAAAGACGGACGCGGGTCCAGGCTGTTTGAGGGACGGGCGTGCGCCCACAGTGCTGGAGGCCGGATGGTGACCCGGTTCCCGAAACGCTGAGACTGACGGACGGCTGCTGTGGCCCTCGGAAGCCTTCCGAGTGGGAGGAAACCCGGGGCGAGTGGACGGGCGCTCCCGGCAGCCGGGCTCCGGTACCCTTCTCCCGCCCTGACCCCAGCTAGGGTCCCTTCTGCCGTGCCTCACCGGTCGCCGTCAGACTTTGGGTGCGAGCATCCGGGACGGGGCCCGTGTTCCCCGGGTATCCACCTTCCCACGTGCCTTTCCCTACCGCAGACCTTCGATGGGAAGCCTCGCTACGCCGAGTTAGCAAAAACGCCTCTAAGGTTCCCACAATGAAGTTAGCAAAGCAGTGCCTGGAGCAGGGTCCTTTTTCTGCTTTTAACAGGGTTAAGTTGGTTGACAGAACCCGGGCTGAAAGGCCGCGCTAAGCTCCTTGTGTATGATTATTCAAGGTCTGGGGACGAAGAGGGAGGACTAGAATACCCGCAGAGCTTTTGCCTTTAGATCCCCATAGCCCAGTGAAATATGGGAAGGGGGTGGGTGGATGGATGGATGTAGTGTCACCTGTGGCCAGGCTTTTACTTGGCTTTGTGGTTTTCCACATTAAAAGTATGATATTGAACTACAAGTATGGCGATGCTTGTGTGATGGGGCTGTGGGGAAGAGCACCTTTCTTGTTTCCTAGAAGTTGTCAGATATTGCATGCCATAATGTCAAGTTCTCGAAATTGTATAACTTTCCTGTTTCTTAATAGGGGCAGTATGAACGAAGAGGAGCAGTTTGTAAACATTGATTTGGATGATGACAATATTTGCAGCGTTTGTAAACTGGGAACAGACAAAGAAACACTCTCCTTTTGCCACATTTGTTTTGAGCTAAATATTGAAGGTAAGAACATAGTATAAATTTAACTTTGTGACATGAATTTTACACAACTACTTTATGCTGAACTGGTTATAAGGTAAAATAAACATTTATTGAATGATTGGAAATTGTGCTAAGTATAAAGTGTGGAAATTAAAAGGGAAATGAAGCTGAAATGATGAATATAAGAGAGAGCTTTGTTTTTAAACACCTACATACCATCCCCTTTTTGTCAGTATAAAAGCAAGGTATGGATGTTGCCTCCTAAACACGTTTTCTGGTTGAGATCTTATTAAATGTGTGTGTGCATCCCTTGTGTGTATTAAGAACTAGCATACCATTTAATTGATGAGCAAATGTAATTAGGTCCTACCATGCTAGTACCTGAATGAAGTGAGCTCCAACTCTTTTCCCTTAGTGTTTCCATCATCTGGAAAAATGTTTCTTTCTTTTTTTTTTTTTTAGTTTGTTGCCATTTGTATTCATGCACCCTGTTTCTGAAATTTTTTATAAACTCTTTTCAGTGATGACACACACACACACACACTTGGTAATTTTTAAAAATTAAAAAGACTTATAAAATTTCTTAGTAATATTACTTAGATACCTGAGAAAAAAGTTCTCTAGAGATTTAAAAAGTCTCTTATTGAAGGTATTTGTGTTGGTGCACAATTAATGTATCTATGGATATCAATCATTTGCTTCCAGGAAACGTGAGATATGTTTCCTTAATCTTGACATTGTTATATTAAAACTTTCAATCCTTTTAGATATTTTTGAGTTGCTCTAAAAAAAATTAATATTCCTGCAAAAATAAAAATTTCCCTAAAATTTAAATTTTGACTTTTAACCGATAGGTTATCTGTAGGAGGATTTTTATTAGACCTTTAGATTGTGTGTGAACTATTTCTAAATATTAGGAGTTCCTTTTTCCTGGACTGTTGAAATTTTTCCTAATCTTTATTCTGTTTGTTAAGAGATATGAAATTTTTTAAAAATATTTTATTAGGGGCTGGGGATGTGGCTCAAGCGGTAGTGCGCTCACCTGGCATGCGTGTAGCCTGGGTTCGATCCTCAGCATCACATACAAATAAACATGTTGTGTCCGCCAAAAACTAAAAAAAAATAAATATTAAAATTCCCTATCTCTCTCTCTCTCTCTCTTTTAAAAAAAATATATTTTATTAATTGTTGCTGAACTTTTTATTTTTATGTGGTGCTGAGAATCGAACCTAGTGCCTCACACATGCTAGATAAGTGTTCCACAATCCCAATCCTGAAATGTTCTTATAATGAACACAAACCACACGCATATACACTATGATTGTGTACCTTGAAATTCCTGTTAGGACTTGTTATTCAGAAATGGTGTAGTCACCAAATAGTGTGTGATGAGCATCATGGATTTCCTGTGAGTTATGTAGAATACCTATAACTTTGGCTTTAATGAATGTAGTAATTATAAATAATTTCAAAAGGATGATGTAAAAGTAGTGTTCTATAGCATTTAAATTACTATTTTCTTAATCATACTAGAGTAAAAGATATAAAATTAATATTTTTTGGATATAGAGTTGTCCCTGGATATACCAATGTGTTGTAGAATTTCACATTTAGATAAGCAGAGACATTAGAAATTATCCAGCCCAAACCCCGTGTTTTACATCTGAGGAAACTGAGGGCAAGACAGTTGGAACTGCTAAAGATTATTTTAGTGGTGATGGTAGGCTATTGTTTTATGCCAGGCATTTACTTTGAAAACTTCTGTACCAGGCATTATACTAAGCACCTTACATGGATTATCTTGCTCAGAATAGCTCTGGAATGACTACTGTGATTATTCTTTTTAAATGTGATGGAACTGAACCTTAGAGACCTAAGAAATGGACTTTGAAGTCATACAGCTAATAATTGACAGTCCTGGGCTTTGATTCATGACCATCTGGTTCTAGTGTATATAATCCATTTATTTACTATCAATAGTTATTTTAATTTTAAGACTGATGTTAGAAACCTGTCCTCCTGAATTACAGTTCGTTATACTTGCTGTTTGTTCTGCCAGCTTTTCTTAACCAGTGCTTCCTGCTAAGTCATCATTAGAGGGGTTCACATTATATTAAAACTTTTTTGCAAAACCTAAATTTTCATAATTGATTTTCTAGCCTTTTTAAATATGCCTTTTAACTGGTTCTCAATCATTATATAGAAAGTATACAAACTGTCCTCAGGTGTCATCTTTGTAAACATTTCAGCTTTTGATATGTAAGCATAAGTCCTATGTTTTTGAAGTAATACTGTGTTACAGTTTGAAAGACAAAAACCATTCTCATTTTGAACTTAAACTACTTCATTTGATATTCTATGTGTATTTTAGATATTGTGTATTAAAATGCCAGTTTAACTTTAGTGAGGAAAAAATAGTTTAAATTTCTTCTCAAGGTATCTAGTGTTTGTTTCCAGCTCTATATTTTGTGGACTTTCACTTTTTATATCAGTTTACAGGTTTTTAAAAATTAGAAAAAGAGTGGTAAAGCAATCACATACCAGATTATTATTGCTTATATTCTTCATTAGGAAAACTTTTGGGGGGCTTGGAATGTGGCTCAGTGGTAGAGCATTTGCCTAGCTTGCTCAAGGCTCCAGCACCACAAAACAAAACAAAAACAAAAAAATGCTCCTAGAAAACCTTTTCAAAGAGTTTTTTCAACTGCTAAATTCTCAACACAATGCCAGTCAAAAGTCACACTCACTCTTAAAACATGACATTTAACTAGTAATTTGGTATAATTTTCTTTGTAGTATGGTAATACCATAGTCACCTGGTTTTGTGGTTTAATAACTGCTAAGTTTGAGCTAAATAATTCTGCTTTTCATTTTTTCCACAATGAGGCTTAGTAAAAATAAATTCTTTTGAGGAATGTTAACAGTTAAGATAGTTTTGAGTCCACACATTTGTAATAAATAAAAATAATACTTTATACTTTTTGGATTTATATCAAATTACACCAGTCTCCTACTAATCAACTGGCTTCTTGTTTAAAAGCTATGTGTTTGCATAGGTTTATGAAGTCAAAACAAAGGAAGAAAAGAGTAACAACAAAAGACAGTCTAATCTTGTTGTAGAGATTCTGTATTCTGGGCATGGCTCTAAGTTGTCTTTTTTTTCTGTGACTTCACAGTAGTTAAAAGGAATGGGGTATCTAACTTTTATGTACTTCCAGCCATAGATGATATGCTTCAAGGATCTAAAAAATGGATTTTGACAAATGTTTTTAAATGTTCTCAAAGTTGATTTTTTTTAAGCCTATAATTCATTATTAGTGTAATTTGTCAACTTTTAAGATGAGGAGACAGATGCATGAACTTTCTAATCCCTGTGGCCTAACCTTGGCACTAAGACACTATAAACTTCCTATTACCTATGGGCTAACCTTGACTTGAGACACCACATTTTTTTCATACATGTTAATGACCATATACACATCTAGATCACCGTGGTAAAATCTCTGAAGCTATTCACTACTATTCCCTTAGCTGAGGCAGAGAGCAAGGCAGCCTAGAATAGTCAGCAGCCAATAATAAAACTCAAATATAATGTAACAGTCAGAAATGAGACCAGAGGGGGGAAATCCAGGGTTCAATACTGTAACTTCATATTTTCTACTTTCATTTTGTGTCAGAAAATTATGCAAATAGTTCTAAGATCATTTTTACTTTTTCTGATAATTAACTTGCTTTCTTTTCTATGGAGAAAATCTCTTTTAGAAGATTGGGCTGATTCCTATTATACCAAGCAAACAAAGTTTTCAGTGTAAGTTGACCTTGCTAGTTGATGAGCAAGCATATTTCTGGCCACTCTCTGTGTAGTCCATCTTGGACTTCATTCTATTCTAAGTGTTCTTTCCAGGAAGCAGAAGCAAATTCAGCTCCTTAGTAATCTTTTCAGCAATACAAATTTGTAGGTGTTTTCTCTTGTTTAAGGCACAGGTAAACACACTTTTTATTATTACTTTTTTTTTTATTTTATTTTTTGGCAGTGCTGTGGATTGAACCCAGGGGCACTTTACCACTAAGCTGTGTCCTCATTCTTTTATTTTTTTATTTTGAGATATAAGTTAAGGCTGATCTGCAACTTGTGATCTTTCTGCTTCAGCCTCCTGAGTCTCTGGGAATACTGGTATGCACCACCGCACCTAGTGGCTTCTTTTCTTCCTTACTTCTCTGATTTTGACTGTATACTGGTCATGGTTAATAGTCAGGAATCAGTTTGAATCTTAGTGTTAAATTTGACTTAGTTTGGAAGTCAGAACTGGTTATTTACTGATTAAGATCTATGAGTCTTTCTCTGTGTCCTACTTCTGACATATCATCTTTGCATGTAAGTAAAAGGACCCACCCTAAACTGTAAATAGCAAATTCAGTCTTTCTCTTGTTTCTCATCATATAATGACAACATCATATTTTAACTTAAAGTAGCATTTTAAATATGAAGCCTAACATAAATTCTGACCTTTATCTTGGTTTTCTTTTATATACTTGGAATTAAATACTGAAAGATTTATTTTTCTCCTTAAATGCCTCTGATTGTCACTTTAAATACATTTGAGTACTTTTTAAATGGTTCTAATAGTAAAACTTGATTATTTGGACAGAAGGGATAAAAGTGGAATGTGGGCTGAATTGATGATAAGTTTAAATTATTATTAAATTAAAATATTTTAAAAGAAAAGTAATTGAAAATAAGCTAACAAAATCTGGTAAAAACAAGTTTAAATCATACACAAATTTTGGTTTTGAAGATATACCTGTTAGGAATTAGGTCTGTATGTAATAGGAAATCCAAATATAATGAAAAAATAAATGAATATTTGTATTTCTTATGTAAGAAATACATATTTTTTTTCTATTCTACCTTCCTTTAATACCCAATTTCGATCTTTCAGGTTACTGGCTACTGGAACTCTAGCCATTGCTTCCTTATTCCAAAAAAAAAAAAAAGGAGATGTTAGACTCACTCCTGTATC